GACTGTGTGGGAATCTGATGTTTTCGCACCACAGATGATGATCAAGACACTAAAAGGTCTTGTGGCAGCCATAAATAGCAGTCACTGCCCATGTTTCCTACTGTTGGCATGGCAGAAGACATGGTAGTATTCAACGTTTGAAATAAAAACTGAGAAAATATTTTTTTTCACTTAGTGTAAGTTAAAATGTAAAATGTTAATTTATTACAATCCTTGATATGTATCAAACTGTCTGAGAGGGAGAGACATGCACCCCTAGGCAGTTCAGTTCAATTCAATTCAATTAAATTTTATTTGTATAGCGCCAATTCATAACAGAAGTTATCTCAGGACACTTTTCAAATAGAGCAGGTCTAGACCGAACTCCTTATAACATTTACAGAGACCCAACAGTACCACCATGAGCAAGCACTTGGTGACAGGGGCAAGGAAAAACTGCCTGTTAAAAGGGAGAAACCTAGGACAGACCCTTCGGCTCTAGGTGGGTGGTCGTCTGCCTCGACCAGTTGAGGTGAGAGAGAGAGAGACAGCCAGACAGACAGACAGACAGACAGACAGTAGCACAGCAACAACAGTAGCTACAACTACACTAATAATAGTGACTGATGATGATGACGTGGATATGGATCTAAGGCTTCCATGTCAACAGATCTATCAAAACACACTAACTGAGCAAATTCAGTAATACTAATGAAGACCGTATGATATGACTGAAAGTTCCAGAAAACCTTAAGTTGGGATTTTTTGTTTTTTTTGTAAAATTCCATAAATGCACATTAATGTTTATGACAGGGCAGTTTGTGCCTCGCACAGGTGTTCATGATATTCTGTCTACCCTGCAAACAGACCAACTTACTCCTTGTATACATATTCTTGTAAGATATTAATGATGTTGTGGAAATTGTGTAACAATAGTTGGAGACACAGTTTACCTCCAGAGTAAATGGGAAAGTTCTGTTCCCAAGCAAAGCCCTTCTTAAAGATTCATGTGACTTTTGCCATGAATTGGTTATCAGAAATGGGGAAGGAGGAGTGACAGTGTGCCGTCACCTGAAATAAAGTCTCCCAACACTGCACTTTTCACCTCACACGCTCACTAGAGTCCCTTTTAGAATACCTCCAATTTTACTTTCTCTCCCATGCATAAGGAAACAGGCACCATTTTAGTTACTGCAGCTGTCCAGCAAAATTTACTACAACCAGGGGAAGTAATGCCCACTTATCTCTCTTGTACACAAATGTAGTCGATTTACAGGAAAGCCTACTTGCTATTCAATATTTATGGTCAGATAAAATTGCAGGAAAGGAGGTTTGAATGTGGAAGAAGCGGGAGGGAACCAAATCTGAAATATGCATGAGTGCACATAGGCAGCACTGGCTGTTTTGACGTGCGCACTGCAGCTCCATGCGGAAATGAGGGAAGGCTGAGTCACCGCAAGGAGAAGTCTGGGAAAAGAAGGGAAAGGAAAAGTGACCATCAAGATTTAATCAGACATTTCTGCTTCTGGTTTAACTTTAACTACTTAAGATCTGTGGTTGTCGAATCTAAATCCAAATCTGGTGTGCTGGTATTATCATAGATATTAAAAACTAGAGCATGAGCAGCCAGGTCCGTATGGATTAAAATCTCTTCTTCACTTATGTTAGTAATCAGTTCAGTGATCAGTCCTAATCATAAATATCCGAGTAATGATGTGGTCCAACTCTGTTCAGTTTTTATGTTTTAGTTTTTGAGCATTTTATATGTAAACCAGTAACACAAAAGCCAGCAGGAAGATCCTTTGTATCACTTTGTGCTTGCAGCCTTGTGAGCTGGACATCTGTTTAGCAGTGTTTATAATATGAAGGTCCATGTATTCATTGATATTCTTTCAATTTCAGCAGTTATAAAAGGTTCACTATTCTGAAGTTAATTTGCACCAGCTGGCATTTTAAGGGACAACTTACCTTGATACGGTTAATGCTGCCTGAGAAAAAAACACAACATAACATGATGGTGTCCTGTTTTCACCCCTTTTAACCTGACCAGTCAGTCTTCAGTTAAAAGGGAAATTAAGTGAATACCAAATAGCAAGGAAGGGATAAAGAAAGAGTCCAGTTTCTTCTCAGAGCCCAGCCATCCAATCCCAAGTGCACGGGTCCACATTGTATTGTGATAGGATCATAGGGGCCATGGGGCACTTTAGAGTTCGATTCATCACATCCTGTGGTCAGTGAAGTGTATCTACAGAGCACCAGAATTTCATTTGGCCAAGAAGGTCCAATTTGGTTCAGCGGCAGACTGCTGGTGATAAGGTTTGCATGTTGTTACACAGATTGCAGGTTAATATTTACCTCTGAAGCAATTTTAAAATGTATGCCTACCTGGAGCGACGACCTCCCTAATGAGCAAATGTATGCTATATTTATCTCTGGCATAAACAGGGTGGCTTCGAAGGCAGTTAAGATTTATCAGTCATGGTGGTGAATAGATAGCTGATAAAGCGGGTCACAGAGATAACTTGTTAGGCAGTAAACGAGTAAAGGAAGATGGGGATGTGGAAAATTGACTCGAGATTATAGAATTTCCATTTCAAATGCATGAATTGATTTTAAATTCCATTTAGGCGATTAAAATGTATTCCAAAGAACTTAACATTATCTGCTGACTTTAGAAACACGGTGGTTCAGCCTTGTCTCTAGTCGCCATTCATCGTGCATGAGTGGTGGTTGTTTGGGGCTGCTGACCGGTTTCTTCTCAAAGTAGACCAACCATTCATTCACATATACAGTACATACATACAATATCTGCTTTGACTTCTACAGTAGGGGACTATAATAGAGCAATCATGTACACCATTTATAGACATATACAGTAGCTGTTGTCAAGAAGGAACAATAAGTGCTGTGGAAAACAATTTATTTAACCCTACACAACCAACATTTTATTTACCACTGTATTGGCAATTTTACATTTACACTCCCTTTGTGTTCATTCACAAACTTTACCGCCAAAAGAAATAACTGTAAGCAGCTGATGAGAATGACTTGTGTTTGTTTGTCTGACAGACAACTTCATGAACAAGATTAAACCTGGCCTTACAGTAGAGCAGAGCTGGGTCAGGGATTGTTAAGTGTCTAGTTGTGTTTGGATTTCTTAAATTGAGAGAAGAATATACTTGAGCTGGAGGAATGTAAAAAGAGGAAGAGGCAGTTAATCCAAATGTTTATCCGCTGTCACCTGTGACAGCACAATGACTCACACAGATGTGTGGAAATATTTGTGTGTGTGTGTGTGTGTGTGTGTGTGTGTGTGTGTGTGTGTGTGTGTGTGTGTGTGTGTATGAGAGGGATAATACTTTCTTAAGAAGCAGCTACCAACTCTGCTGAGGATGTCGCTCAGACACAAAAGCCTTTTTCAGACTGTCAAGATATAACTACAACTCTGTATCAGGGTGTTTTTTACTGTCTGACATGTATGATTGAAGGAAATCTGTTTCCTTACAGATATGCTCATGTAATGGCTTCCACCATGGACTTTGTATTGTCTCGTTAACCTTATACTGTGTATGTTGCCTTTAAGGAAATTGAATGTTGACGTGTATGTAGTAGAGCTGAGCCCAAATGGGAAATGATCGTGGGTTGCTGGTAATGCGTTGTATTATCTTCATATCCATAAAGGTCACAGATATATGCTGCACACAATATTATGCTAATTGTCACACTTTCCATGCCAGTACTATTGAATTATATATATGACTGATGGGCAGTGCCTCGCAGAATAAGAATATATGGGACACAAGAACGAATGCAAATGCTCAGCGGTGTTTGTGAGAATTTGTGAGAGTGTTGACATGATTGTAATATTGCTATCTGACACACGTCAGAAATAGGATTCTCTGCCTGCCGACACTGATTTCATACGCGAGGAGGAAGATCATGTCAAGGAGGCGTGTGTCACTCGTCTCTCCCCTCAATGTGCAGCTCGGCAGGCATCACAGTGTTTTGCACATTCAATTTCCTGTGTTTAAATCTGACACGCAGGTTTTGTTTTCGTTTTCCCTTTACCAAACTGAATATGATAATGTCACTTGGGAATTGCTAGATGAAAAGATTTCCATGGTGCCGTCAGCTTTTTTTGCTGAGGAGATGAATTGAACAGTAGGCGCAGGGTTTGGAACCAATACAGCATGCATTATAATGAAATCATCTTCTTTTTTCCGTTCAGAGAAGCTATGCTTTGAAAATGGAGTTTGCAAACCAAATTGGATTAGAAATGGTGGATATTTTGTTAGGTATCTCTCCAATTTCACAGTGAGTGTGTGTGTGTGTGTGTGTGTGTGTGTGTGTGTGTGTGTGTGTGTGTGTGTGTGTGTGTGTGTGTGTGTGTGTGTGCGTGTGTACGAACCTGCTTGAATGCTGTAGGATCCTTCAGTCCGTAGCTATCAATATTAATGTTGGTTCAAAGCTTTATTCTTCAAAACAAACATATAATTCTGCTTTATCTGTTAAGTTCTCAGTTTGACTCTTCTGCAGCATCAAAAGCTAAACTTTCTGTTGTTTTAGAAGAACAGTTACATTTGTCATACCCTTGTCTACTGGTTGAATACCCCTTTTATGATTTCATGACACCGGTACTAAAGTGACAATCATCTAGATGAGCAGGAAATATATTTTCCTCACAATGCTATGCTCAGATCCGTTATATCAGATGCCGGTGGCACAATCCGGTCTTTCTATGTATTTGAACAATGTGCAACATGTGCAAAGGCTCAGCAGGTATGAGGAACATAACAGTGATTTACAACAACAACAGTGTGGACGTTGAGAAAAGTAAAAACACTGAAAAAAATCTATCTCAAAAATCCTTAAAATCCCTTCTTTAGGATCACATCTCAGAAAGCCCATCAATATGACAAGCAGAGCCATAACCTACAATGAATGTTTGTTCCAGCAGCACGTGTAAATGCAATGCACAAACGTGAATTCTAGTTCTAATCAAATAGATTATCTCTTCACAGCTTTGAAAAAGGGCCGATTCTGGATCACCCCTGACCCCTACCACAATGACGACAACATCCAGATTGGACGTGAAGTCAAGATATCTTGCCAGGTAGAGTAAACACACACGCATGCATAACATAACTGGTTACAGCTACTGATCAATGCAACACAAATAACAACGTGCTGAATCTCCCAGGTGGAGGCGACCCCACCAGAGGAGCTGACCTTTAGCTGGCTGAAGAATGGCCGTGCCCTGCGGAGCTCAGAGCGTATGGTCATCACCCAAACGGACCCGGACATCTCCCCAGGGACCACCAACCTGGACATCATAGACCTCAAGTTCACCGACTTCGGCACATACACCTGCGTGGCCGCGCTAAAGGGAGGAGGCATCCCTGAGATCAGCATTGACGTCAACATCTCTTCCACAACTGGTGAGCATCACACCCCTTTGTGTCAGTGACGCATTTAAACACCTTCCCGAACACCTTAAACCCCCCCACACACACACACACACACACACACACACACACACACAGGCACATTATTCATGGACACATGCTTTAGAAGATCATGAGATCACTGTGGCACTTTCTCGGACTGTGGGGCCTGGGACTTTTTAAAGGAAAATTCTTGTATTTTAACAATTAGTCTTATTTTTGTAGTTTTTGCTGTCAATCTCATAAGCAGTTTTGATATCATTTTACTCTAAATGTTTGCAGGGAGGTTACCTAAACCATTTCTTTAGACGTGAGAACTAAAGATAACACACTGCAAACTGTAAATGTAATATAACCACCCACTGCATTGTAAAACTATACAGAAGGTCAAAGTTAGAACAAGAAAATGAGTGTTTACAACTGACAGGTGTAAAAATATAATAATAATGTTCAGCTTGGTATTTGTCTGTAGGTAAGATGTTTATATAGTATTATTAACCTTGGGAAATCTGAGTAGTGTTGCCATTTCCTGAGGTTTCAGCCATTTAGTTGGTATGTAACAGACAGAAATGGTAACAGTTATATAAACTAAGACCAGGTTTAAGAAAAGCAAAATTTCCTTTAAATAGTCATTTCACCCAGATCTTAGAAACACCTTTCCCCACTTCTCTCTTGTGGGATAAAGCAATGCAGATACTGTTGTTTATATCTGCCCAAGGTTTTCATATATCTGCCCCTGAGAATTTTGCACCCCAATACAGCAGGTGAATTGAGTTTTGTCTGTGGTGATTATATTAAATTGTTTTTTTATTGCTTTTTAAAATGCTTTTTACCTATTTCAGAAAATAGTTCTACTTGAAATGACAGTTGACAGTGGGGTCTGTGGATTATCCAGACTAACCGGGACATATATTTTTAAACGCTTTACTAGCACAAACAAAAATCAATTCACATGCTTGGGGGGCAGTGTGAGCCTTAAAAACTCTAAATATCCAAACTTAAACTGATAAAAGTAAAACTTCATGCCAGATTTTTTTGTAGGTATGTGATTTGGGTGAATTGACCTCTTAAGCCCTCTTCCTAGACTGTCTCCACAGGATAAAAAAGCTTGTATGTCTTCTTTAGACTTTGAGTTGTTCACTGCCTGACTAAATACCAATAATATGTCCCAGGCTGAAATATGTTCAAGGACCACTGTCTTCTACTGTAATTTCTGGTTACTGCAAACTGTATTACAGCACCAACACCATTACAATGACTGTTCAATGGGATTCCTGTGAACCAAAGCTGACTCCATCAGTCCGACTAATCAGAGACAAAAACATCCATCGTCCTCCCATTTAATTGGCTGCTTCCACCACTGTTCCAACTAACTTTTGCATACGTTTGTACAGCATGTTAATAACACAACATACCAGCCCACCTTGTCTACTGAGCTGCATCATTGTAGTTTCAATCATGGCATGTTAAGTAGTCTCCTAGAAACAGAGCAGCGTTACAGCAGCCGTTCCTTGTGTCTTTTAGGTATTCTTCTTTCAAAAGAAGGCGAGATGTAGGTGCTTGCATAATAAAATCAGTCTTTAAAAGACAAAATCTACCGTCAAACATGTATTTTTCTGTCTATTGTTTTAGATTTTATCATCAATCAGCCCCTCTGCCTGTCAGATTTTTTAAGAAAGAAGCCTGGAACAGCTTCACAGGCAACAAAAGAGACTCTGACTTTTAGAAGATTGCTAGATAGCACATTTAGCACAGTTAACAATATGTTTTGTACTTACTCACTGCAGGTTCCAAAGCAATAGCAATAACAAAGCAATAACACTTGTCGTCTTTATCTGTAATCTCCAGCATGAGGTCAGTCAATGAGCAGGAAATGTGTGGTAATGTTCCTGTGTCAGCACGCATTCCTTCATCGCCCATCAACTTTACAGAGGGGTGTGACCCAATCGACTCCACGCCTGCAGAGACGCCACATTCGGGAGTCTCCTGCTTGCCCATCCCAGATTTCCAGATCTTCCATGTGGGGGACTCCCATGGGTTGGTGATGCCACTGGCACAGGAGATATCTGCTTTTTTTGCTTTGAATTTACTGGCGTGTGTTCAGTACTGATAAGTTATTTTTGGGTTGTGTGATATTTTGCGACTTGTTGGGTGCATATTTCCCCACACACACACCTACACACACACACGCACTCACAGTGACTGACACATTTTACACACTCACGCACCCTTTACCTTCTCCCGCCGTCTTGTTTTTTTCTATGGCACACACACCTCACTGCCACTCACAGCGTGAACATTAAAGCAGTATGTCGACCTTGGGCGCATAATTATTGTTAGATAATCCTTTGATAATCCCTGCGCTATAAAACAGTGGGATCAATCGTACCTGCCAAGATTGTTTCCTCATTATCTTTTAAGTAGTGCAGTCTCTTCTTTTGGAGTGCCTGGGTGATGCCAATGCAATAACACAGACCCTTTAATGTGTTAAAAAAAAACACTGCTTGCTGACTGAGGAAATGACTGACTCTATTGTGATCATATGAAATGAAAGGTTTCCTTAAGGCTTAGATGTGATTGCCTCTTAAGCTTTCATTGTTCCAGTCAGATGTGTGGCTATGAAATATTATGAAAGTGTTGCATTGTGGTAGAGCTGTTCCTGTCACAGGAAATAATATATTGAATTTTGCTTCTGCCAGTTACGATTCCCGCTGCATTACCTGGATGTGACTGGGCTGTTTTCCTGGAGAATGCCTGTTATGTGTGGCGCTTTTTTCAGTCAGATAAATGCCATGAATCAGAAAAGTATCTGAGCGGCACTGTATAGCTGCTGTGTACTAAAGCGCCTTGTGCCTCTACCTTGCCATGCGCCTGCAGCCTGTTTTGGGGTGAATAAGCCCTGTTTTTGTTACTCTGCCTGTTCTCCTGAAGGGAGAAAGCCCGAGCTGCAATTAGAAGTCTTAATAAAAGCGTTTAGAGGAGATTACGCTGCAGGTCTGCCAGGGTTTCGTGCTGGGGAAGTGGTTGGAAAGCGATTGAGCCTAAAGTGTCTCTAGTCTGAACACTTTGGAGCTTGCTGGCTGTTCCAGCTTTGGCTCCAGTTCCAGATTCCAAACCCGGTCTTACCCCCAGCCCTTCTTTATAAAAGAGAATTTTTATTATCTTCCATTCTTTTAACTTTTGATGAACGCTGATTTCAACAGCCTTCATCATTTCTCCCTTTTTGCAAAACACCACTAATATTTACTATCATGACACGCTCATTAAATAAGCAGCTTCTTTTCTCGTCGGGGCTCCCAGAGATCGCAGGGCTAATGTTTATTTATGAGCGTGGTCCGAAAACAAGGACACAGACCTCCCGTTTGGATTCTGTCAGAATTAAGAATCATGAGACACAGGAACAGCTGAAAAGAGTTACAGGCATTAGTGTAAACATAAAGCATCCCATAAACTTCTAACAGGAACTGGATCTGATTAATCCTCTCATTAGTCTGTGTGTTAAATGTGTGTTTAGTGGGTGTGTCTTGCTGGATTATCGTTAGATGATGTAATTATTGACATTCTGCGGCTGTGACTCTGAAATGTTATTTGGCTTCAGACTGAAACTACCGCCGAGTCCATCTTAGAGATAAAATTGTAATAGCATGTAGAGTCATTACGGATGGATTCTTGACATTTAGAGCTAGTTTCAACACTGATTCACAAAGCTGATGCCCGCTTATTGAACTCACCATAAACAATAGTTTCTACTATTGTGGTTCGAGAAAACAACATTCCTGTCCTCTAAACAGTTGTGGCGATTTGTCTCTGTTGATACATCTTAGCATCAGCACACGTCAGTAGCTCATTCTCGGTGTGATTGATGATCCCAAAGTAAGTATTAAGGTTGAAAGTCACCTCTCTCTTGTGAGGGAGATTAAGCCTTCCGGGATGAGTTGCTCAATTAGCATCCCACTCACACCTGAAACTCTGGCACCACCCAGTGTTTCTGTCAATCTCAAGAATCACTGCAGTTAATGAATTAAGCAAATCAATTAAGTGCTCAGTTGATTAAAAATGAGCTGGTTTAATAAACACAATGTACTTTTTTTTTAAATTCCTAAATGAATTTGAGTCATCTGAAGCTCGCGGCAGGCCTGCTCAATGCTGTCTATCGTCCTTTCAACCGTCCCGTTGTCTGTTTGACCGTGATTCATCATGAGCTGCCATCATCCGAGTGACCGTGCCACATATGACTCTAATAGGGACGGCATGACTGCTGGCTGTTGACCAGACTGATGTGCTTGTTTCAGCAGCAAATTCACTGACCCTATTAAATGGAAACCTGGTCTGCATCCTGACTCACCTACAGGGTGCAAAGGTTCAACTGCTGTTTGGTCACTGTGGGTGGAAACAAATTGTTTGCTGCTTTCTTTCCTTCATGTTCGGATAGAATGTGGTTCTTTGTTGATGTTGGTCACATGTCCATTTTCATTCATTGATTTTTTTTGTATTGTATTTGTACAGCAGGAAATCAAGCTGGTCCAACAACTGGCTGAATACACACTGGGAATTATGAAAACCAAATATCCTGTAAGCAGTGTGTCTTACCTTTGCAATGTGTCTACTTTATACCAAGTATCAATTCAATTTCAAATTAATGAAGTGAAAAGAGAGAATCTTTTTCAATTGACCATTGGTTAAGTCCCATCCTCCTTAGTTATTGTTGCTAGTATGCTTTTCAAGCTTTCCATTTCCGCATGGTATGGAGTTTACATTAACAGATTTACCACTTAAAATACTTCTCAATTCTCATCAGTCCTTGATAGACTGCTGCAGTCAAAAGCAGGGTTTTCATTTAAAGCCATTAACCGTTGATTTTGCCAGCTGAAATGACAACTGTTGCTGGCAGATTTTGTCAACTATAGCTTCCTAGCTAATAAATCCAACATTAACTCCCTTAATTGGTTGAAAACACTATCTCCAGTTCATTTTTCCATGTTTCAAGTTGATTT